TAATATAATGTTCGTTGCTGCTCGGTACTGCTCAGTACGGCTTGGTACTGTTCCACCCTGATTGGTGCTTCTTGGTACTTCTTGGTACAACGCGGTATTTAGGGTTAATACTCAGTATTTAGAATAAATATCTTAGTATTTTATATATAATATATTGTTCATTGCTGCTTGGTACTGTTCGGTGCTAATCGGTGCTTGTCGGTACTGCTCGGCACTTCTCGGTATTTGTCGTTATTGCTATTTTTTTCAAAGTAAATACTCGGTATTAGGTTTAATTTATTATGAAAATAATGTGTAAATGTGATTGTTATCAATTCTCCTTAATATTACTCGGTACTACTCGGTACTTAAAGTTATAACTCGGTATTTACAGAAGTTCTGTTTTTTATTCTTTATGGTGCAGGGATATTGCCCCAAGATTCTTTTCAGATGTCGAACTTCAACTTTTAGAGAAGTTTGTAACGAGATGGTTGTAAAATTTGGGGAGCCGTTAGTATCAAGACTACGGTAGCTACATATTAATCAGTTCCTATTATTTTCTGGATACCCTCAGAATGTTCCAATTGTTTATATATTATTGATGAAGTGGGACATTCAGTATGAATATTTTGTCATTAAGGGGAAAATGATACCTTCCACAGCTGATGAAATAGCTTTGATCTTGGGTTGCAGAACAGAGGAAATAAACTTATGCCAGGTAGTGCTACGATTAGTGGAGTGACAACAAATAATATAAGGCATGATATTGAGAAATTGGATGTGTCTACTCCAGTAGAGAAAGTAGTGAAAGAATTTATTGTTTACTTACTGTCGAACATCTTCTTTCTAATGACCAACTTCCACATACCATCTTCAATATTGGACATTGCAAACAATTTCAAAAACTTTGGAACATACAACTGGCCTCAATCCAATAGGGATTTCCTTGTGATTGAATTTAATGCAATTGCACAAAAAACATTCAAAAGGTTATTCACTAGGATATGTCAATGGTTTTGTAATGATTATAATTGTGAGTATTTACTACAGATATGGTTTGGTTTTATTTACTTATACTATTGACAATTAATTTTTTTATCATTATAACATTGAATCGTGTGTTTTATTTAATTATATATATGTTTTCTGAACATACAAATTTCCACCGCGTAGTGAATGATGTTGCTCGACCCCGTCTCATTCGTTGGGATGGAAAATTTAATTATGGAGAAAAAGATGTTAACAAATTGTTAACCGACCTTCAGGATACTGAGGTAGTAAACGTACGTGTGTGTAGTAACTTAGATTTCTGATTTATTTATATATTTTTGCTGACTATAAACACATCTTGTGCAAATTTTCACACATTTACAAGGAATTACAGATGCTGAGAAGACTGTACTTCAGAGTTCTTCTACATATCCAATAGTAGAGCATCTCCACTGAATCTCCAATCCAACCGCCAAGCTCCACTAAATCTCCAATCCAACCGCCAAGCCCCACTAAATCTCAAATCCAACCGCCAAGCCCCACTGAATCTCCTATCCAACCGCCAAGCAACACCAAGACCCCACAGAAAGAATTTTCCCCAGAACCTGATCCAGATCATCCTGTTACTGAAGAAACGAACTTGAAGATTCTAAATCAATCCATTTACAAACTTATAACCCAGCAAAATTATTTGATCAAAAAATTGTCATCAGTCGAACTGTCGAATACTTTACTTGAAAGATGGGTAGTAGTATTGGAACAAGCAGTATTCGACATAAAAATGAGAATAAAATGAAATTTGACGTTATATATAAATTTTTGAGTGATAATTTTCCTACCTCTTTCAAATCAAACCAGAGTGAAAGTCCGGAGAAATCATCTTCAAGAACTGTATCTGACCATAACAATTTGGATGAAGTACCCAAATCTGTCGACCAAATTGTTGAGGAAATTACAAAAGAAGCAGATTTGAATGGGATGGAAGAGGTTATGAGGTAATATGAAGATGAGGAATTTCCTTCATCAA